CCGCACGCCGTGGAGCTGAGCGCGGCGTGCGAGACGCGGGCGCGCTGCGCCAGCCCGGGCGCCGTGCTGGCGGCGGGGGACGGCGCGTAACGAAGCGTCGCGTGGGATGCGAGGGCGGGGGTTGCCAAAGGTCGAGCTCGCTGTCCCGGCGCGTGCGCAGCGCCGATTCTCCTGTATTTTCGATTTGATTTATTGTACGACGATGTACGTCCGTAATACGTATTAAAAGTGCCGCGGCGCGCCGTTGTATTGTATTCGCACTTGTCCGTCCGGCGTAAGTCCTCATCCCGACTTTGATTTAAAGTTTTGTGCCAATCGCGTGTGATTATCTAGTACTTTGAAGCGACTCTGTGATTTAATTATTTGATAAATGTAGCGAGTTTTCGAAGTAAAATAATAACCGGAGTCCATGATAGCGATCCTGGGAGGTGGCAGTCCTAGATATACGATAGATGCTTCGCGCTTTCAGAGCAGTGTTACTCTATCCAATATTTGTGATACTTTGAATAATAATTACTATTAATGATCTAAATTATTTAATTTTTCACGTTTGTAGGCGAAAAATAATCTTAAGCGATAATAATTATGTTATGTGAATCTATAAAATGTAAACTACGATTAAAATGTGATTTAAATTTAGTTCTTGTTTTATTACTTCACTTCTCAAAACCTGCAAACACCACAAACCGGCTGTGACATATTGTTGGCTGCCCAAGACGAAATCGCCTATATGCGATTAGAAAGTGTGTATCACAATCATTGTGGGCACTAGTTATATAAAGGATTACACTTTAAAAAAACTACCTCTTCCTGGCATGGAAGTGAATTTTCCTCTTAACTCGTCGAGTACCGGTTTTGTAGACACAATTATAGAACTATAGGTTGCGGTCACCGGTGACCGCTTGGTGTTTGACAGTTTAAATGAAGTACATCTCAGTGATCTCTGGCGCCAAATCTACTTATTTTATAAAAAACCTGTCTAGACATAAATTGTAGAAACAAGTGAATAGTTTAAACTTGTAGACAACGTTTTTCTCGTAAAATATACCGGAAAAGAGATATTTAAAAAAAATCGGAAAAGCACATAAAAATCTAGAAAATTGCCAATTTTCAACACTCTTGGAAAACTATCGAGACACTCCTATTACCGCCCAATGATCGAACTATGCCATGAAGCTATGAATACTAGATAAAATACGGACACCAAAAATCCCAATACGGTAAAATGGGGTGAGTAGGGTTTGAGCGGCGAAAAGGGACCGAAGAGGGGCGAATCGATACTATAAAGAATTTCCTTATATCTATTCACCCCTCTCCTGTCCTTATATCTCTCGATCCCTATTCACCCCATTTTACGGTACCTACCTACATGAAACCTTCTTGAAACTATGTGTCACTTTTATTACAAAGTATACCCTAAAAATAAGCTTTCTTTTACTTCTGTCTAATGTTATTGTGAATAGACTGTAGTGTCCACGAGGGGGATATAAATAAGATAAAAAACACAAATTATTTGCTTGATTATTTATTAACTCATCAACTACTGTAAAGTAATCTCTTGCCTACAACCGTAAGTAGACAACGTGGAAAATATTGACAAACTGATACATATTTTTTAAAACATCAACATTTGATTATAATATAATTGGGAGCTCCACCGCACCGAGTACAATTGAAACATTTACTAAATGACAGTTATAAATGATTACATAATATCACTTACAGATTTATATGGTACATTGTTTGGTTACATTTTATAGCGACTGAAAACGTCCAAGCACAATATATTCCTCAAACATGGGTAACACATGACACTGCTTGACCGTAATGTATCGCGGGAGCTAGGACTTAGGCAAACCGGATATCTGTATACTGTGTATACTGTATCAATTATACGGGGCCCCCAACGTGCGTAAGCAAAAATTAATAAAAATTACCCAACTTTTTATTTTAGAAATCACAAAAGTCAAAGTATGAATTATTTTTATGAAAAAGTTTTTGGGGCACCCCGCAAACATTTTTTATACGAGTCTCCGCCAAGGCTCGCTACGCCACTGTACACAAAACCAGTTTATTATAGTCTCACTTTCTATGATCTTTCCGCACATTCGACGTTTGTAACTGTACCTGAACACACATGTCTACGCCACATGCGGTGTGTTCTGTCCCTTATAATAGGATAGATGACTAATTTTTATTTCAATGTCAGTCTGGTAGATTAAGTAAAAACATTAGACACGTATTTTTTATTATCTTACAGAAACAACTTACTTCCGACGAATTGATTTGAAATATCACGTGACGTCACTTGTGTACGTTTTATACTCAAAAATGACGTAGCTAGCTCCCACTCCTAAACTTTGATTCGTATTATCTAAGTATTGTTTTCTCATAAGACAAATTAAAAATAAAAACGTGTTTAATATTTTTCCCTTACTTAACTGATGGGCAAATTATCTTTTTTAATTTTCATACCCTGTCATCTAGGGACAGCACATGTGTAATTACCCGGTCTGCTCAAGCCTCTACCACCGATGACAGCTATTACAATCTTAGTACTATAGACACCATTACAACACATTTTTTTTCTTCCAAAGTAGAACTGCACTGATAACACAGATAACATATTTAAGATCTATCATAGATTCAACAGAACACCTATTTTTTTTTATAATTAATATAAAATTACATTAAAGTTAATTTAAATAATGTGCTAACAATGTGTGGAATGTTAAAAATGTAAAATGTCTAGGACGCAACCATATTGTGAATGTGATATACCAAAATAGGCCTAATAACAAATAGGTTTTGTGAACACAGTGGACCTCTGTCTATATCTGAATATCTAATATTCATTTGATGCAACTGAATTTAGAATCACATACATTCCACATAAAGTGCATAATTGATTAAACTTTAATTTCATTCGTAAATATTTCGTCTGTTCTTAATACCAAATTAGGAAACAAATCGTAACATTGGAAACATGAGAATATTAATGTATACTATAAACTTCATACAATAAAGATGATTTTGCTTTGACATTGTACAAATCAGGTGGTGAAGAAAAAAGTTAAGACCTAAATACTCGATCTTTATACATTTTACAAATATTGTCAATTCACTTAAAATCGGTAACACGAATGAATTCCTCAATAAATATTTTCATAAAATTAAATGTAATTTATACTATAGTTCACCTATCGGAGCCACATTCATATTTTCATAAAATTAAATATAATTTGGCTAGACTTTGAATTCACTAGAATATTTGTTGTAAAACATTTTGTATTTAGTCTTAGGCTGAGAGTATCCAAAATTCATTTCATACACACAATTTTGCGGCTGATCTTAATTATCACATTACACCTAAATAACTAACAAAAGTAAATTATTTACAGAATGGAATAAAAATATAGGTCTAGTAGTTATCTTCTGTATACTACGTTATTTGGCTTAATTTATCCTTATTTTATGAAAAGCTTGAAGATCCGCAAAGCATAAATATTATTATAAGTTTTGGGAAAGACATAATTAGTTCTTAGTTATTTTTATATGAATCGTTATTTAAATGCCGTCCTATACTTAATGGACAATGAGCAACCGCTAACAAGTTACAATAGTTTTGCTTAAATATTACATCTTGTACAGAATACATTTAACCATGGTTTAAAGTATAAACAATAATTCTATTTACACATTTCTTTAACAAATACATTTTAATAAATATAAAAAATAAACGAACTAGTAATTCGCGGCCTATTGATTACAATGTACTTACACTATGTACACACTTTGTCACGATCACGAACTCTATACTCCATAGTTTAGGCCAGAATATTTTCATAAAATGCTTGACAACTGACTTACAAAATGAAGTCTACGACTTAACCAAAAATAAAATATATTTACAAAAAAATAAAACATTCAAATTACATAACGTTTAACACAGTTCAACAAGATTGTATAAGAATGTTACTGTTAAAGTTAAAATGCAATGGAAGTTTGAATTCCTGCCACAAGACCATCCCAACTTGCTAACACTCTATAATAAATCAACTCGCATCACCCCTTACATCCGTGGTATCCTTACGACTACTGTCACAGCACACGTCACCCTCATTACACGAGTCTTTTCTTAACTCTCCCGAGTACAGCCAGCGACACAAGTTTACATTCAATTTATCATAAAAATAGATAACGAATTACACTAAAACTTGTGTGATATCTTGTTACTGAATGTCAATTTTGTTACTGAATTCGACATGATTAATATTGAGCATTTTAAAGTGACTGGAGACTATTGTCGCTAACTGTACTATTCCCTATAGCCAAATAAATATACAATAGGTACATTTTATCCAACACATTTTACACACATAAAATGAAGCTCCCGAATATCAAATTCGGGGAAGCATGTAACAAAAATAAATACACAAAATACTTAACAAAACGCAGGATCTAACAAGTCAAGGACACAATCCGATGACTAGCTGCGTACTAGAAATCACCAGAAACATAAAACGATACTTGTAATCCAGGTACATGTAACATTCAGATTGTAAAACATTCATAATACGTACTTAATAAAGTTGAAAGTCGAATGTGGTGGATCCGTCGCGCCAGGTGGGTTCGTCGGAGACCTTGGCGCGGCACAGTGGGCACGTGTGCTCCCGGTCGAGCCAGGCTGAGATGCACAGCTCGCAGAAGATGTGGCTGCAGTCTAACCGCACTGGGGTCGTATACTCGTCGTGGCAGATAGGACAAGCCTCGCCCGCCGCGCTCAGCTGCTCGCGAGACGGTTTTGTGCCAAGGTCCTGTTGTAAATATTTTTATAAGTATTCAAATATTAAGAGTTATTAAGCCCTATAACTTATTTGATGATGTACTCACCACATTCTGCACCATTGACCAGGCAGCATTCTTGAACACTCGCAGCCGTATCGTCACCTCGATGATCTTGCAGATCACATATATGGAGGTGAGAAACATGCCCATCAGCTTCTCAGAGTCATCGTATGACTGCATCAGGTAGAATATCCACGGTTGGATCGTCAGCAGAGAGCGGTACAGCTGGGACACTGACTCCATGAACAGGAATACTCTACCCTGCAAATTTAAACAAAAAAATATAAATAACTTATGAGTACAAAGGTACTACCTCGTTGCCCAACTGGTCGCAAGTGCGGCCGCTGGGCAAAGGGTTTCGGGTTCGATTACCGGGTTATTTTTAAAAGGTCTCAGTAATAACACGGAGTCTGGAATTGTAATAGGTTCACCCCAAATTACATGGGACTCATAACATAAATAAATAGTGAAAAGTGAGTGTTGTTTCGTGTCATTGTAAGTACAGTGGCATTAAGTGCCGTAATGTGCACTTCTGCCTACCACTTTGAAGATAAAAGGCGTGATGTTATGTTTTACAAAGGTACCTTTATTTAATTAAGAGCAAAGTGATGTCAATAATGTAAACAGATTCAACAAACTTACCCTCTTCTGGTACGGCAATATACTTGAAGGCAAAATGGTGACTACCATCTTAATGTTGACGGTAATGATCTTAACGATCAGGTCGGTGAGGATGATGAGCCACAGCAACTCCCATATGTTCAGGTTGGAGTACGCCGGGAACATGACCACGTTGTAGAGGAGCTTCCCGTGCCCGAAGAGGTAGTGAACAATGGCGACGATGCCAAGAGTGGTAAACATCTCCAAGAGACACGAGGATAGACTGCGATGCATCTGTTTCACGTTCTCCCTGCAACATAACAGTACATGATCAAAGGATGAGCGCCGAGTACTCCCTCACTATCACCTGTGTTTCATTGTAAACTTGGAAAGCACAGGTTTCCAAGATTGCAATGTATGCAAGTAAGGCTACTTAGAACATTTACAAAATAATACACCCTCAATAACAAATTGTGGGTCATACAAATAATTGTTCTATCTGCGGTTCGAATCTGTGACATGTTGCGTAAAAAAATCATCGCCCACAAAGAATTATAGTTGGTAATTCAAACTTCATGATCAACTCACCTCCTAATAATGCTATTGCAGTGTGTGAAAGTGACAAATAGTATCAAGAACGTGAAGATGCCTTCCCGGCAGTCGTACAGGAACTTGATGATCAGTATGAAGTAGAACGGCGCGTAGCGAATGAGAATATTCAGTGTCGCGCGTACGTCTACCACCTGAAAGAAAATAATATACAAATGTACAGTTAATATTTCTACTGCATGGTGGGTACAGTAATCGGATATCTGGCTGTTACGTGATGTGAAGGTTCGATTACAGGAAAAAATGTCACACTCTGGGCTCAGGCGTCCTCAACATTACCGCGTACATTTAGCAGTAGAAACTAGACATTGGAACAATGCTACTTAGTTGGTAAAAAGGTGATCAAGAAGAATTGTGGCATTCATAATAGCGAAGTTACGAACGACTAAAAAACTATCACTATTTATTGAAATAGTTGCTTAATTCCTTAATTAAACTACTTCGTTTTGTTCTGTTCACGAATTCAGAAGTTAATTGTGTCAGCCGCATCGACGAGGAATATACGCGATTGATCTGGTTAAAAGTAGTTTTATTCACTCCAAGCAGATTTTAATTTGGAAGAATGTCTATTACGCTTTATAGATTTTTATTGAATTGCGACTTCTCTGTTTACCCATAATGATTAGCCAACACACAAAAAGCTTCATTCTACACTATTTTGTAAACAGCTCTTTGTACTGAAATAGTACCTTTCTATATATCACCGAAACTGAAATAGTCATGGTGGAGATAATTAAACTGCGTGTTCCGTCTAGTATCTCAAAATTGACTAAATTTAAAATACTGACTTCACATATAGTTAGATAACATTATTTTATACAACACGAATTCCTTAGAACTTAGATACTGACTGTTTAAAGTCTGCTGCCTATTGATTATATTTTAAATGCAAGTAGAGACTACTAATATAACATTGTTTTCAGTAAAACCTGAACACTATTTGGAATATTAGCTTTGGTTTTTAAAGTCCATAAAAATTTGGTTATAAAAACACTATAAGGACTGGATTCTCGTATTATCCTAAACATAGAATTATTTCTATCACTAATACAGTGGATGGTATTTTACAATCACATCTACAATGATTATGGTCTGATGTTTAGCCCCATTATCTGGAGTCTACATCAGAGAATAATCAATAGTGGCCATTCTTCTTGTTTTCTCATTATTGTCACTAGTTATAATGGGTTGAATAACAGCACTATGTGTAACAATACATTATGATGGAAAATGTTGACAAAATAATGATAAATTAAAACTAGGCCAGGAACAGGAAGTTAAGAAAATATTTGAATGACTATGATAAGGGATTTTACATACCCAATCCATTGATATTTGATAGAGAGATATAAACCTTATTGTACACTAAATAATTTTACAATTTCATAATTTACAAGGAATAGTAAGGGTACAGTGGCAGCCTTATTTGAAGAGTAATATCTACCAGGCAACCTCCATATTAAAATAAATGTAAGGTACAAAAATGAAGATAGAAAATCTACTAAATGTTGAAAAAACTGATTAAGTCTAACTAATACTGAGTTATTTGTTTGATGTAATCACTGTATTAATGATAGTTCCTTATAATTTTAGTTATGTTCAAGTTTAATAATAAACATGTATACTAGATTATACTCATTACTCAGCCATTGGTTACCTACTTCATTAGGGTCACTGTGATAGCAATTGTTAAGCATATTAATTGAAGTTTTAAATAATATAATTATTTGGTTTAATCTCCCAATTGCCAGTATATGATACACAACTGAAATGAATCTAGATACAGGGGGTTAATTTAATAAAATGCATCTTACTCACAAATATGTACCAGGACCAGCATAGTTTATCATGAATAAAAAAAAATCTAAAACATGATAATATCATTCCAAAGCATAGTTAATTTTTATTTAGGGAAGTTGATCCCAAATAACAGTATCTGTTTTACAGTGCAATCAACTGTTCAATTATAGTACAAAGTGTAAGTATTGTGACATACCTGTGAACCATCATCACTTTGACTCTCATTGTCGGCATTTTCATGAATATTGTTGTTGTTGGCAGGGTTCACCGACACAATCTCTTGCTCTTGGTCTGGCTCGGAAAGGCTGGATTCACTATTACTTATTAATACATCATGCTGTGTCCGATGTGTAATAGGAACACCTCGGTCATTTACTGCATAAGTTTGTGCATTCGCTCCCAAGTTTACATGTGCTACTGAGCTTAGTGGCCTCGGGGTCGGGTCTACCATGTAAGGAGGTGGGGCTGGTATGGCCCTTGGCATCCAAATAGGCAGCGACAGCCGATTGGTTCTGGTTTGCTAAAAAGATACAGTTACACAATAAGTAGGAAAATATCGTCATTATGAATCATTATTATTAGCAAAAAAAAACGTTACATACTATACGTGCTTGTTCCACAATTGGTCTGATCTCCCTGATTACACTTTGTAACTGATCTCCTAGGCCCATGGGTCTGTCTCTGAACTGAGGTGGTTGTCTAGGACTTGGCTCTCCTGCTCCTCTATAGTTATGACGAGGCGCCATCTCCGCAGGTTCTTCATCTTCTATATCAAGTGTTACGTGGTTTGGATGAGCCATCTTTCTGATTTATATTAATGGAAAAGTAGTCAAATTAGAGATCCTATCTAAGAATAAATGTAACAATTTTCAATATTCTCATTTCCAAATATTATGAGCTTTATCGTCCGAAGGTCACTATTTTGACATAACATTTCTTGTCTGACTGACTGTCACTGTCACTGACTGTCGACTGACTCATGACGTTTAGTTTTAGTCGCAGAACAAAAACTTCATGACATTTGTATTGATTTTCGTTCTGAAATTCAAGAAATTTGTAAAAACATTGAGATTGATTGGAATGTTTATGTACCATTTATGTACCCTTTGAGTACCGTCAATAAAGACACAATTATAGAACAATAGGTTGCGGTCACCGATCTCCTCGCGGTGTTTGACAGTTTAATGATTGCCCAATTTATTATTAATAATTTAAGGAAGAAGACAGATGCATCAAATACATAATCGGTTGGGGTTGATGTCAATGTTTTTGAGTAAGTAGATGTAGGTAGTTCTCATTTGATGTGCGGTTCGGTTCATGAGCAACATTACGCGAAAAACGATACGATAAGGGTCGCACAATCAACTGTTTTACTGTTTGACAAGATAACTCGACTACCTTCGTAACAAAGTCGTAAAACATAGTAACGCACTCAAAATACAGTTATGATTTATGGCTGGGCGCAAAAAGTTCCTTGCATAGGTAGGTACAACGTTTCACATCACATCACATCTAAACCCGTTACACTTCGTGGTTCACATCAAAAGGTTGTTTCGTATGGGAGTCGAACCCATAACAAATAGTAAGCCAGTCGGGCAGTATTGAAATGTGTAATATAGGGTATATAATAAAAGAGGTCAGCATACTGTCAATAATTTATTTTGTCTTTAAATAATAGTCAATAGACCGCAATGAATTTCTAGCTTTTGATACGATGAGCAATTAACATCTACGGTAGTTACGATACGTCATGTACGCACGATGTAGATATACGTAAATTCAGTCTTTGTTTAGGCTTATCACCGCGGCACTGATGCCAGCACACGCCGTGCGGCTGGCGGACCGCGGGAGTCTCCGTCGAATCCGATCATTGTTAACTAAACAGTAATTATGTCATTACACATATGAATCAATTGTTATTTGTGCTTAAGTTATAAAAATTAATATAAATAATATTATTGATATATTATGTAGTTGGACTGAATCGTTAAATAATGAACGTTTGGTTTCGAACAAACACTTAGCACGGTCTTGGCACATGGTTTTAAGAGCTCTCACGCCTCATTATCAGGTCTCAGAGCCAGGACGCCTTGTGAATGTAGATCTCGGACAGCTTCCAGTAGTCGTCGCTCAGCTCTAGGCTCTCCCAATGCAACATCGACGCTCCCTGCACACAATAACAAAGCCCTGAGGGCCGCCCGCGGCCAATCCGGCCTCAAACCCCGCCTAACTGTAACTCCAGCAGAAGCAGCACCTAACCTCGCACACTCGGCTTCCAATCGATCTCCATATTCTTCAATTAGAGTGTCGCCTACTGATCTTCTCAGCTCCGGCGTCAAAGATGACAGAAGTAACAATGCGACATCATCCATTGGTCTTCCTAAAGAAACCATTTGCCAATCTAGAGCTATACATTCGCTAACACCTTCTCTTTCCCTGAAGAGTAAATTACCACTCCAAAAATCTGCGTGTGCAAGTGGTGCTGGTTCAGCAGGTCTCAACAGGGTGCCGAGTAAAGAAGGTGCCCGAGCACTCAAAGCAGACACCGCAGCTGCTTCCTCTACACAGTCAGGGCGTCCTCGTAAAAATGCTTCGAGTTGTGGAAGTCCTCGCCGCACGAGGCGCAAGTATCCTGCAGCAGCTCTCTCACAAGGGAATAGAAAGTCAAATCTTTGGTCCAATGGTCCTTCCCTATCGCGTAGTGCAAGAGAGAGCGCGTGTAGTCTCGCAGCTGCAAAAAGTGCAGATCGCGCACGTTCTTCAGTTAAACCTTCAGCAAAATCAGCCGCTTCGTAACCGACTGATGTAACATCTTCCAATACAAGCTCGCTGTCTCCACCGATTTCATCTGAAATTTTAAGAGGAATTTTAAGTATCAATTTCAAGTTAAACGTTAAACAGAATTCTGATGTAATGGGGACTGCCTACTACGATTAATAGGTACCAGTGTATCATCATAGAAAACATTCATTTCGAACAAACCTATGCTTCAGTTGAATAGCTCGACCTAATTGTCGAACCTATGAAAAATGAAGCCTAGAAATAGGTCACAAGCGAGGAGAGGAGGAAAGGGGGCGGGAATGTCGCATGTGACGCACAAAGGTGAAAAGTCAAGTGGTGTTACAAAAGATGATAAAAATTATGTAGGTCGGAATTTAACTTCAACTACTAAAAAGTACTTAGTTAGTCCATTGTTTTTATTTCTAAGTAAACATACCAACATAATTGTGGGAAATATGTACGGTAAGCATGTACGGTTAATGGTTAAAACACATGTGAATAAATATCGTAATGTAGGTATTCAAGACACTTCACCAGTTTACCAAGACCTTGAAAAGACAAAAATAAATTGCCTGAGTCAGTGACTGGAGATTCGATACGCGCATTGCATACAGATGACTGAAGAATACAAACCTATGGGAGTATTTTATGATATAAGTACATAAATAAAGCATGTTTGAAATAGAATACTGACCAGGTAGTCTTGCTTTTACGCATCTAGGTACAGGTAAGCCCGAACCGGGTCCTAGGGCCTCCTCTGCTAGTTTGTTAAGAGCTGGTGCTAGTTCTGTGTAAAACAGAATCTCCCTGGTGTCGAACTGTGCCTCGGCAACGAATAACCGCCCGAAGGGATCTCGCGGAGGCAGCTTGACGACGAGCGGTAAAGCGCGGCGCTCACCATTGCTCTCGTAGCAAACTGTCACAGCCAGGACACGACTGAGGGCTCCCGCAACTCCTGCCCGTGATTCCACGTGTACCTAAGACATATAGAAAATTAAGCAGGGAAAGCGTTCTTGTTTTCCTAATTTTTATAGCTGTTTTTTCAGTAAATAGTAACCTATACTTAGGTTTACGTGTGTACCTACAGTAGTAAGAATATTAATACATCAATGTAGTGCGTAAGTAGCATTATAAAATAAATCAGTGAGTGGTTTATAACTATAAAACATCGTTACACGTTACCTACTTCATTTTATGATTTACGGACATAAATAATGCACTCGTATTATCATGGTCGATTGACAACAACACATTTCAGACATTCTTTCATGAATACGATATTTCCGTTTCTTGCAACATTTCTTTAGATTAATGATCTCTATAAAAAAGGTTCTGTATTTATTAGTAAATAAATAAATGATTTTGTAAGTAAAAATGAATTATAATATAATAGTAGACGTAAATCAGGAAAACCTCATGCGGGTCGACCACGCCCGCTCCAGCTAACAGCTCCCTAGCCCACTCCTCGGTGAGAGCTGCGTCCGCATCGGTCTCTGGTCCGGGCTCGCAGTCGGAGTCCTCGCTACCGCTGCTGGGGGCTTCAGAAACCGCCGTACTGTCCGGCCCCCCGGCTTGCATCTTGCGCACTATACCCGTAGCACTGAACTGAACGACAAATACTGTTTCTATCTATCTATAACAATGTAACTGTGCACATTTCTGTGTTGAAACCGCCTATCTGAAGTAAAATTGAGGCGAAACATTCGAACGTTACAAAAAAATTACTTCATACTGGGGTGCTGGTGTCGGTGCACTGAGCTCGAATAGATATGCTGCCTGGGGCTACGTCTCGATTTGCCGGCGTCTCGCGCATGCGTGTATCTACGACTACTTACCTCAATTATTCATCGGGACTCCCATAACGTGTCACCCACCGCCACCGCTCAATCATGAAAGCTATGCATATAATGCACGTTTTTGTTTAGTAAAGATAGGTGACACAACGGAAAGATTCAAAGGATTATATGGTCGTATTTGTACCTCAAGATGATCTGAAGTCTCAAGTTAATAAATTAATTACACACTGGGGTCCGTCCCCGCTTTGCTCGGCTATTCTGCAATTTTCGAATACGTATTTTTTACTTTATATATACTATCATGACAATAAAAAACACAATAAAAAAGAATTATTGAAATTGTTCAAATTGTGCATGCATTCGAGTTATACCTACACTGATCGATTACCTTTATATAGGTACCTATTTTGGAAATACCTACGTTTTTTAGTTTTGTTAATTTATTACAAGTTTCTTTCGCTTATATTTATGTAGGTAGGATTTCGTACGAGTTTGTTTTACGTTTAACGGCGCGCTAGCTATTTTATTCAATACACTTAGTTACTCAGTTACGATTTTTTTTTTCAGATAAATGCTGAGATTCCATTATGTATGTATCTTTATTATTTTAATGTTTTAAATATGGATAAGTGGGTAGGTATATTAATTATGACTTACAATACGTTCGAGGAAAGGATGAGTCGAGTCGAGAATAATATATGTTATATTTCAGATAGCTTAGGTATTAAACATATGATTAGACTTATATTATATTTATTTACGTCAGACGGCTACTCAGAGAATTTATTACTAGTCCGAGGACGGCTGTAAACGGGCTTATTATATTTATTAAATAATATTATGTAAAATGTGCCAAAACTATCTCTGCCTGGCATAAAAGTGGAATTATTATTGTTATATCCTCATAATTTGTATTGTATCTAAGTATTTAAAGAAAATTTATTTTAATAAGTTTTTTCCTTTAATCATGTCAGTACTAAAAGACATTTTTTCTTATAGGCCTCTCGGAGGAGGTTTTAGGTCTCGTTTTATATAAGTTCCTTGGGTCTCGTATACCTAAAAAACTATAATCTTTGCCTTTGGATTGTCTATAGCAAAACGAACATTGACATTGACGTTTTGTTTGACATACTTAGTTGTCAAACAATTGGTCAGATTGGTCTCATTTGTCAGTGGAATTTAATGCGAACCGGCTACAGAATTATTTGTTAGCAGAGCGTTATAAAATGTTAATAACTATCGATTTATTTTAGGTCCCTGTTAAAGAAAAGCCTTACTATGGGAAAAGAAAAATCTAAGAAACGAAGAAGATCAAGTTGCTCAAGTTCTAGTAGTTCTGATTCTGATGCGTCCAGAGAAAAAAAGAAACTCCGCAAGTTGAAGAAAAAATTAAAAAAGGAAAAGAAGAAGACTGAAAAAGCGTTGAAGAAGAAATTAAAAGAGGAAAAGAAAAAGCTTAAAAAGAAGCAGAGGAGTAAGAGTACAAGTCGTAGTCGTGATGGTAGTAACGCGAAAGAAGTAGCCGTCTCCACAGACATTCCCCTCGGTATGTGCGCACGAAGGAAACCGGCGGCGACAGTATTTACCAGACTGATATATTTAGTAGATTGCCAGTAACTTCTTAAACTAAAGAACTACTGAAGTACAATACATAGTATTTGAATTGTTTATGAGCTGGTTATGCCTGAGTTTGAATCAGGATTTTTGTTTCAGAACTTATGGAAAAATCCAAAGCCATGGCCCCTATGACCAAAGAAGAATGGGAGAAAAGACAAAGTGTAGTTAGAAAAGTTCTAGATGAGGAGACAGGGAGATACAGGTTATCCTATCCATCTAATATCTACATCTATATTAACTATTACTACTTTCTGTATGAGATAGTATATCCAATCTATCTTTTACTTTTTAATGAATATTCCCTCAGTTGAGTCTTGTTTTCAGGTTAATTAAAGGTGATGGAGAGGTGTTAGAAGAGATTGTGTCCCGTGACAGACATAAGCAGATCAACAGGCAGGCAACACAGGCTGATGGAGCATTCTTTCAGTTACAAACTGTTGAGAAAAAGATGCTATAGAGGACAGCTTGGGAGTTGATACTTCTATATCATCACTCCCTATTTATAGATTCTAAACAACCCACCATTAATACATATGTGCACCAAGATGTTTTGATGAGCTTCAAATGACATGTATCTGTTTCTTTAAGTTTAATTATTAAAAGTATTGATATTGAGTTGAACCTCTTGCTTTTAAATGTTATTATCAACCTGATTCTACACTAAATACTCAAACTATATGTTCACCATCATGTTATATGATATGATGATGGCTAGATAGTTTTGAAATTGAACTGGTGAGATGGAACATGGATGAGGATATACAATGCAGAAAATCAGTTTGTTTCATTAGATTTACATTCCTATTACCTATTCAAGATCAGATTAAACTTTGTTAACAGTAAAATGTAATGCAATTATTATTCTTCCATCAACAACGGATTTGCACTTGCATGTGAATTTTATGTGCATGTAGTTATTGCTCTTGGCATGCAATTTTATGGCCTACATTGTAATCAGATAACAGAAAATTGTTTCAAGGGCTGCTCTCTTTGTAGTATGTTTTAATTCTCTGAGGAAATTATACATTACTATCTGCATACCAAGAAAAGGGCATAATTACATGATATTCAATAAAAAGCACAGAATTTAAATAATCCAAGCTGTTATAAAATTTGTTTATTGATCTACCTAATAAATTATAATTCGTCTTTGGTTTTCGTGATGTCCTCATCGTTTGTTGTTCCCTGCTCTGTGCTCGAGTTGGTACCTTGAAGGTGTTCATTGACTAGAGTTATTAAGCTTTCGAGGGAGCGTCCTCCATGTTCTACATTCACAATCTTCTTTTCCTTGTACAGGATTAGAGTGGGGAGGCCACTGATCTAAAACAAACAACTGATGTGAGATTTTATAATACACACATACACATGTGACTTGTAGTTGTATCTGACGTGTAGAGTTGTCACAATATCCTGACAAAATACAAAATGATAAGATAAGAATGATAACATTATTGAATTAACCTAAACAGAAGTTACCTAATGTTCTTATATTATCCCGAATTATGTGTTTCTTACCTTCTCAGTTTCACAAATGGGTTTTGATTGCACGCAATCGACATCTGCAATTATAACGCGTGTTTCGTTTTGAAACCTCTCACCCAATTTCAACCACAGTGGGCTTAGCTGCATACAGTGTGCACACCTGTGAAATATAAATAGAAAACTAATTAATTGCTTTCATATTATTTTCCATCCAATTTTGTTGGTAATAAAAGTTGTTTCTGCAATTACTAGATAGGAGATTTTATTTTTTGGTGGATTCCAATGATTCCAAACTAGTTTTCTTTTATTCTTACATTTTAACAAGAATTAACTTGAGCAGTGCAGTGCTTAAGCATAATCAAGATTCAAATAAGAAACTTACCATGGGGCAAAGTAATTTATAAATACTAATTCCTTCTCTAAGAATGTCTCAAATGTTTCTTCTGAAATCCTAGCAACTGGTAGAGCTTTCTTTTTCTTTAAGAACTTTTCAGGATCATGATTTTCAGTGAGCAACATTTTTTCTACATATCCTTTTAGGTCATCTATTGTTTCTGCTTCAGCTACTCCCATCTGTAATAACATTATAAGTAAATAATTTGTTTCTTGACAATACATGTACTTTGCCTTTAATAAGCACTGTACTGCAAGCTATAGCATGGTTTGTGTGGTGACTGGGCAATAGGCGGCCACACAACATGTAGTAGGGTTAATTCCTTTATGGAGCAACTCTTCGTGTGATTCACAAATTGTTGTTTCAGGTCTAGGTGTCATGTGTATGTGAACTTGTATGTTTGTAAACATACCCATAACACAGAAGAAACATTTTTTTAACCAAGACAAGAATAATTAAATCCAACTTACAATTCTGCCATTGACAATCCACATTAAGTAAGGATATTGTTTGATGTCAAATGTCTTGCAAGTCATCTCATTGTCCATGCAGTTCACTTTTCCTATCTGGATGTACTCATTATTTGCATATAGCACTGCTAGGTCAGCCCAAATTGGAGCCAATTTCTGAAAAAATGAAATATGTTTTATTTATGGTAGTAAATATTTATAACATTTGCCCTTCCAGTAGATATAATTATAATATTTTTAAGAGGGTACCTGGTAGATTATTTTTTAATTTTTATTAGAACAATTAGAAACTTGTAAACAGTATATTACCTGTGATGCCTTACACCATGGTGCATAGAACATAATAAAGTGTTGTCCTCTTGACACAAACTTCTCAATATTTTGATCATTTAAGTAAGCCATTCCACTGTATGTTTTTACTTCTCTGGATTCTTTTTCTTGATCCAAACCCTGAAAGTATAAAATTTTATAACAATTACAATAGTATGCAACCTAAAGTAAAAAATGTTTTCATTACTGTTTAGTATCTTACCTCTGATTTCATAGTAAATACTTCACTTAAAAATAATGTGAGGGATGGCAAATCCCTTGTACCCTTATATTCTACTGGAGAAAAAGTGTTTTTATGGAAGTATAGTAATGTTGGATATCCTGGAAACAAAAACATTATTACAGTACAATATTAGAATTTTCTAGTACCTAGCATTGATAAAAATATTGAAATATTATAATTTTCATGTCATCCCTTCTAATTTAAATATTGTTTTTTCTTATTAGTCTGTTATAGGCTAGGTCAGTATGGTCACCAACTTGCCTGGTGGTAAGTTAAGATGTGGCTGATGATGAAGCATTCTTGCCATAAACAACCTATTTACACGACTTAGGTTATCTAGGATCTATATAAATCTTACAAGTACCTGTTATGTCGTTTTCGTTGCATAATTTAAAATGTATTGTACAGTCCACCTGGGCAATAGCAAATTTTGAATCTTTAGTATTGACAAGCTCTGCTAGTTCTGCCCAGATTGGATGGAACTCTGTGCAGTGCCGGCACCTGAATTATATTAAAAATGTTTCAAAACTAACATACACACACGAGTTGAAAAACATAATATGATTATGACGAAAACGTAATGGTACGGTGTTTTAAAGCAGTACAATGTACTCACCAAGGTGCATAAAACATTATAAAATTTCCATCCATTTCTTCTATTTGAATTTTGAAATTATTTGCATTGTATTCATAGACTGAACTTTCCTCAAGTGCAACAAAATAAGGTAAAAATAGAAAATGTAGTATCACTAGTCTCCTTATCATCTTGGAATATATTACTGTTTAACAGACAATGTATACTAGATTATTATTTAAATTAAGGTTTTAGAAAAGATTAATAATAAATACGTGATCATTGAAGACTAATTTA